TGATTGATTCTCGTAATCAACTTTCTCTTTGAAAAAGATTACTACAAATTTGGTACGCCTACAATTCGCCTAGTGGTCCTACGTCAAGCTTCAGTTCGTGCCCCTAGGCACAGACCCTTCTACTTTTTTGCTGTGTACAATTGACCACTGGATGATGGAAAATTAATCAATTGAAAATTTAACACTTTAAAATTGTAAATGAAACTATTTGTCTGGATCCTGAATTAAAATGACAGATTATTCATCAAAACCAATTTATTCGCTTGGAGGTAAATTTTGGATTTTATTTAAAATTACCACTGGCACTCTGAACCCGGGGAAGTCAAAAACACTTCCAACCGGACAATTTCCTCCACCGAACATAAAATGGTTTCACCCTACGGGCTATGTCTGTTCTGCCTCCCCTCCCACCGTCCGCTTCCTCCAAGGTCCAGAGCTGCTCAAGGCCTGTCAAAATCCAATTTCAGATTAACAAAAGACCGTTCCAACCAACTGGCCGACCGACCGGCTGAGCAGGAGCATAATCTTTTGCCTTTGGTTTTCTTAAGCAGCTGCAAGCCTACACATTCACGAGGAGAAGTTAGCCACAGAGCACCATCGACATCATCAGCAGCAGTAGTAGTTCTGCCATTATAGACTTTCTCCTGACAAGAGCTTCAGGGGAATCCAGGGCATAGCAAAAAAGGGATGAGCGGTCGGTGGTGGAACTTTTGCTTGAGAAACCGTAAAGATTGCATATCTGCAAGCTTTTTACCCATCATCAAGGGAAAGCCCTGTAAGCTTGTGGAGCAGAGTCATTCCGGCGGTAGAGTGCCATAGAGTCGGTGGTTGTCGTGGTGCGTCTTAGCCTCTCTACTGGGTTGTAATCTGTTCATTTCTTACAAAATAGACCGACCATCAACGAATTGGGGGAGGAAAAATTGAGGGGGGCACCGGCTGGTTCTAATAGGGTACATCGAGAGTGGGAAGCACAGTCATAATAATTTCATCTGCTCGTATGCTGTTTTGCATAAATTTAATTTAACTTTCATATTATCGTTCATCTTTCGATTCCTCGAGGCTAGGCCAGGGCTACGGTGACGTTCGGGTGGAGTTGTCGGGTGAAGCTGTGGAATTCGTTTGAACTACTGGACCTGAATCATGCGGTCGATGGGTTGACGAGAAGGTGGCAGGTTTTGTAATTTACGGATCAATCAACAAATAGATCCTGGTGTCCTGCAAAATGCAACATTGCATGTTGTGTTAGTTGATTAAGGGTGTTTCTGAACAAACCCACATACATCAAATGAGCTCCTTACTTTCAATAAATCAAACAGTCGTTGGAAACCATCTGTAGGAATTTGCATGTTTCTAACTCATCTTCTAAGAATCATTTGGTATAACCCTGAAAGTACTGTATACTTACGATGAAAGTTGTATTGATTTGAAAATGGAAAAGCTCATATTGTATGTTCCCTGGGCTGTTCCTTTTAAAAACAGTCATGAGCTTCCCATTAATAATATTAGGTTAACACTTAAAGAGATATACTTTTAGTCACCGCTTGTGGGACGTCACCTCAACTAATGGACTATTGTACAGTTATCTTCTATTGAAGCCAAGTCTACTAGTCAGCAAGTCATCTCACATTTACAGTCCTTTGGATTTAGCCTATTGGCGAGCATTGGTAGATGCCCTGGCGTCGTTGTGACAATTTGGTCGTGGCACATTTCGAGTATGAGGGAGTGATTGCAGTTAGATCAAAAGTGCCTGAGAAAAATTAAAGTTCTTTCTCGGATTACCAGAAGTTGCTATAGTGAAGGCATGATCACAGACAAGCAGACCTAACACTCTTAAAATGTTCATCGATATCGCTCGGAAATGGTAAAATTATATATTTCTTAGTTGTTAGTTAGTACCGCCACTTGTGGCACACAAAATCAATTCCCTTGCGTTTGTCGTTTACACACTACAGCCATCTGTTGAGTGTATTGCCCATCACAGTGTATACGACATATGGTGGTTAAAACAGTCACTAATGTTGCTAAAAGCCCTGAGGCAGGAGCTAAATGGGCTGTTGTACCCGTAACTAGTCTTATGTCATGGAACAGTAATTAAGTCTGAGTTTCTAAGTTGACGATGGGGCACATTGAAGGAAACTTGCTGAAGTAGGTCCGAACAATCGAAGTTGTTCTTTAGAAGGTCAAATATGAACATCCGCTGTGTCTGGAGGCGTCTTGCTGATAGCAACTACAGGTCAATAAGTTGACAGGAAGATGAACAGCCAGTCGGCGCCGCCGGGATGTTCTGAGGCATAACATGTCTGATCACGTCTTCCTTCGGATGGGAAGTAAAGCCGTTGGTCCCCGGTTCATGAGTTGATGGGTCGATAGGTAGGGTCCAGGTGTGGGAGCTGCCTTCCTGGCACGTCGGTAGCATTGGTGCTCAGCACGGAAAACAAGATCGACGGAAATAAACAAACCAAGGGAAAAAAAGGAAGATGAACAGGATCGTTCCACGGAAGAGCGAATCGCACGACTTGTTTTTGTACACGTTCAACGCGGATCACTTGAGCCGCATGATAAGGTGCCCAAATCGGAGAAGCGTATTCGAGAATACTACGCACCAACGCGCAGAACCGTGCTTTCAACGCATAAACGTCAGTGAATTGCGAAGAGTTGCGACGGATGAATCCAAGAACAGAGAATGCATTAGATGTTATGGTAGCAATTTGATCATTGAACCTCAGTTTGTGGTCACATCGCGAATGGACTGAACACGTTCCAGAAGGGTTGTATCGATGAAGTAAACGTGAATAATAGACGACCACCCACGACTGGACGTGATTACCTTGCACTTGTTGATGTTTACGCTCAAACCATTCTCGTTGCACCTTTGTGAAAGCATGTAGATGTCCATTTGTAGAACCGCACAATCCAGTGCGGACTTGATTACCCTGAACAGCTTTAGATCATCCGCGTATAAAAGCTTCCCGGATGACAAACAAAGGCATAGCCCGTTTATCAAGAGGACGAAGATAAGAGGGGCCTGAGGAACTCCAGATAGTATTTCGAATGCTTTGGAACGTGCAGAGTTGACCTAACTTCAACCAGTCCGTTGTTCATTCCGGAAAACCCATGTGTTTCAGCTTCTTCACGGTGTAGGTATGCGGCACAGTGTCAAACGCCTTCGAAAAGTCGACGTAAATAGAATAAACCTGATTCCGACGTTCCATCTCTCGGAATAAAATGCTCGTATAACATATCAGATTAGTTGTTGTTGAGCGACGAGGAACAAAGCCATGCTGGTATTCAGATATCATCGTTTTTTCTGCCGTCAAGGTGACTTCGTGTACTAAGGATTCAAGGATCTTTTCTAGACAACATAGTATCGAAATTCCACGGTAGTTATCGACACGTTCAAGGCTGCCAGATTTGTGAATGGGAATCATTGAAGCAGTTTTCCACAGGTCTGGGAACGTTTTTTCTTTCATTGATCGGTTGCACAGCTGGATGGATCATGGATCTACTGAAGAAGCAGCACACTCTTTCAGTAGATATGGTAAAAAGCCATCAACCCCCAGCTCCCTTTGCTCGACGCGTCAATTTTCCAAAGCTTTCTGTACTTCATCTCGAGAAAAATTGAGGACAGGCAGTAGTACATCATGTACATCATGGTACATTTTGGAAACAATCTGAGTAAATTTGAGGCGACGTTGAACTGAACACGCTTTGAAAGAATGTTTCTTCGGGAATTCAGTGGTCGAAAATAAAATTCGGTGGACTGTAATTTTTCGGATTGGGTTTGAACTTCCGTACTTCACGACGGTGTTTATTTAAGTGAAAATTAAACTCTTGCTTCTACCTTCCCTGCGCTAACCGGAATTACAATGTTTACCCAAAAAAAATCAAGCTAATCTAACTGTCAAAACAATCAGGGGGATAAGCCTGCACTACACGGTAAACATTAGTTAAACAAAATATATTGCACACTCAATTTTTGGGTAAACATTCTCCCCCTGGAGCCGGATGGCTCAACACCTCATCGCCTGCTCGTTCGAAGTTCTCGTCATCAATCGGTAGCACAGCTATTTTCGTCGTTGCTCGTTTATAAGTGCCACTACTAGTTCGCACGGTCACCACGCGAACAATGCCGTCCTTGCCAGGGTGCGTTCCAACTATTCGCCCCAGCCTCCATGTCTGCGGTGGCAGATTATCTTCCTTCAGTACCACCAACAATCCGTCGCGTATCAATGTAGGATTCTTGAACCACTTCCCACGCCTCTGTAGTCCAGTCACGTATTCAGCAGACCATCTACGCCAAAACGCTTGCTTCCTACGTTGAATCAGTTGGTATCGGGATAACGTCGACTCCTTCAGGTCACCATAGAACGGTTCCGCGATCGCTGTTAACTCGCGTCCAACTAGAACATGCCCTGGACTCAAGGCTTGGTAGTCCATAGGATCATCGCTAGGCGGAACTATTGGGCGCGAATTGAGAATTGCTTCTATCTGATGCAACAAAGTACAAATCTCCTCGTACGTCAAATGTGATTCATTCAGCACCTTGTTCAAATGGTTCTTCACGGAGTAGAATAAATTTCCAGGTAATACCACGGGACTGACAGAACTCCGCCACCTTGTTCTCCAATGCTTGCGACATCAACAAATTTTTCAACTCAGCCCCAATAAAATTCGTGCCGTTATCTGATCGCATCTCGGCTACGTTTCCTCTTCGACCCACAAAACGATGCAACGCTCCTAGGAACCCATCCAGGTGGATCGCCTTACTACACATACACACGAAAACGCACACAAAGACCTTTCTCGGAGCTCTGAACCGGCTCTCCTTCAGAAAACAATGGACCAGCATAATCAACGCCAGTCCGCGAAAAGAGGTCAGCGGCGGTAACACGTACACTTGGCAAATCTCCCATATACTGTACAACATCCTTCGACTTCATGCGGAAACATTTCACACACCTCCTCAACACGCGATTGATCGTGCGTCTCGCATTCACTGGTTAAAACTGTTGTCGAACCTTCGCAAGCAATCCGTTCAATCCGATATGTAATTGCTCTCGGTACATCGTCTCAATCACCAAATCAGTGAAATGGTTCTTTTCCGGTAGGATCATAGGATGCTTCTGGTCCATCGACAAGTCGGAATGCCTAATTCGACCTCCGACTCTAAGCAATCTTTCATGCTTGTCAAAGATGGGATTCAGGTTTCGAAGTTTTCCTTTCACCGGTTTGTCCCGCTCGATATCCTTAATCTCCTCCTCGTAGATCACTTGTTGAACGATCTTAACCATTGCCAACAACGAATCACGATGATCATCACTGGTCAATTTGCCCCTTCTTCGCTCAACGCCCGACCGTTTCACACTGCAGTTGTGAATAAATCGAGTCACATACCCGAATACTCTCTGCATCCTACGATAATCACTACAGCTCTGAATCACATCATATAGTCGACTGTATTGTGCCACTACGGCTACTGTGGCCTCAGCGAAAACACTAGTCACATAATCGTCATTGTCTTCTTCCTCGGATTGCAAGAACACAGGACCGTTCCACCATAGTTCAATTTTCATTAGTTCCATTGGTTGAACACCCCTGGACACGAGGTCCGCAGGATTGTCTTTCGTACCAACGTGCATCCATTCGGTGTCTGGGGTAAGTTCCAGAATCTTCACAACTCGATTACGCACAAACACCGGCAGACAAGAGTTCAGTTTCTTCAACCAACACAACACTATTTTCGAATCGGACCTCAGAACTATACGTTGAACGTCTAGTTCTAAGGCTTCGCGCACTGTTTTCAATTGTTCTGCCAACAAAACTGCTGCACACAATTCCAATCTCGGGATTGTCATCTCCGATGGTGAGGCTTCTTCTTTTCCCACTCGATCTAACTCCTTCAACGGTGCAACTCTCGATTTTCCGCAGATCAGTTTCACACCAACCACTCCATCGGCGTTCATGCTCCGCAGATATATACAGCATCCGTAGGCTCGTTGAGACGCATCCGAGAATCCATGCAACTCAAATGCCACCGGGTGATCTACTGCAACACATCTCGGAATCTTCATGTTATTAATTTCACTTAATTCTGCTCTCAGCTTACTCCAGACTTCAAGTTCTTCGCTGAGAATCGCATCATCCCAATCAAGCTTGTTTTGCCATAGTTGCTGCATCACCAACTTAGCCAGCACCACGACCGTACTCAAAATGCCGAGAGGATCGAATAATTTCGCTATCTCACTCAACACTTGACGCTTCGTCGGAACTCCTGAAGTGATCGCCATCTTCGTGACACGGAAAAGAAACTCGTCACTCACCGGATCCCACAAGAGCCCGAGCGTCTTTATCACTCCATTCACGTCGATATCCTTAAAGCAAAGCTGTTTCTCACGGTTTTCGGCTGGTATCCCTTCCAAAAGCTTCGGATTATTCGCACACCACTTGTGCAGCTTGAAACCTCCTCTTTCTAGCAACTTCTGAAGATCTTCACGAAGTTTCTTCGCCTCTTGCATTGTGTTTGCACCCACAAGCGCATCATCAACGTAAAAGCACTTAAGTACAACAGCGCTCGCTTCCGGAAAACTGTTTCGTTCGTCATGGGCCAGTTGAATCAATGACCTCGTCGCTAAGAATCCAGCAGATCCTATCCCATACGTTACCCGTAGCAATTCCAGATGCATCAATGGCTGCGACCGGTCGTCTCGCCACACACATCTTTGATATTTAGTGTGGGCACCATTTACCTTCACTTGTTCGTACATGCGCTGTATCTTCAATTTTTTTTTTGGCTATGTTCTCAAGACGTACAGTAGACGGAGCCACCCACAATGGATACGTTGCTGCGCTATGGGTTAGCTGTCAAATCAACGCAACCGCAGCGTATCCATTGTAGGTGGCCATTTACATTATACTGACTGTGCGTTGACTTCTCGTAGCAAGTTGTCATTGATCTCAGTTGCAAGTGTAGCCGTATAAAATTGCTTTGTTTATTATTTTCAACCAGTAAAACGGTGACAGAGACTATTGACTTCTCGACGCAAGATCTCACTAATACAACCTAGCGAGCGTAGCCGTGTAAAATCGATTTGTTTATTATTTTCAACCACGAAATCAGCTGTCAAAGTGTTCGACTTGACAGCGGTTTGTTTTGAATTTTCAACCAGTAAAATGCATGTATTAGTTAAACTTCTCACTAATACTAACGGTGGTAGCGAACTCTATGCGACTGAAAAGTGGTTCAGTGAAAACTAAAATGTCGTTTTAGCTGGCAGCACTTAGAACTCCTAATGCCACCAGCGGAGATTTTGACATCGATAGTCGCAACTCGGACTGGCGAAATTCAGTTTAGTTCTAGTGGTGACGCAATTGTTTATGTTGAATAAACATAAAATGACGCAATATGCATTTCAACGATTGCTGCAATATAGTAAATATGGCAAGACAAGCGCTAAGTCGCAATAGTGTCCGATATTTGTACTCTAGAAAAAATGAAGTAATAGATGCTAATAAATAGTGCCTCTGTATCGTATCACAGGAAAACAGCTCTGACGACTGCTATACAATATTAAAAATAAAATAAAACCCCTCTCTTCGGAAGTTCTCTAAACTTCTCGTCGATAGCTCTCTGAACTTCTCGTCCGAAGCTATCGGAAATTCTCTGAACTTCTCGTTGAAAGTTATCTAGTCTTCTCACCGGAAGTTCTCTGTACTTCTCGTTGAAATTTCTCTGAGCTTCTCGTCGTAATTTCTTTGAAATTTTCGTTGGAAGTTCACCTGAACCTCTCCTTGACAGTTCTCTGATTTTTTTGACGGAAATTCTCTGTTCCTCTCCTCGGAAGTTTTCTGAGTTTCTCCTAGGAAATTCTCCTTGGAAGATCTCTGAACTTCTTGTCGGGAGTTATCTGAAATTATTTGAACTTCTCTTGGAATTTGCTGTCAAAAGTCTCACCACGTCGGAAGTTCTCTGAACCTATCGTCACAAGTGCTTTGAACTTTTCGTCGTAAATTTTCCAAACTTCTAGTCGGAAAATCTCTGAATCTATCCTCAGAAGTTTTTGAGCATCTCGTCAGTCTCTGAAGTTCTTGTTGGAAGTTCGCTGAATTTCTAGTCGGAAATTCTATGAATTTTTCGTGGGAAGTTCTCTGAACTTCAGGAAACTTCCGAGAAGTTCACGGAACTTCCAAGTTCGCGGAACTTCGGACAAGCTCATGGAACTTCTGACAAGTTCACGAAGCTTCCGACTAGAAGTTCATCGAACTTCCGACGAAAAGTTCAAAGAATTTCAATGGAGAGGTTTAGAGAACTTCCAACTAGATGTCCAGAGACCTTCTCTGAGATTCTCTTCGGAATTTCCCTGAACTTCCTCTTGGAACATCCCTTCGGAAGTCCTCCGATCTTCTCCTGGGTAGATCTCTGAATTTCTCGTCAGAAGTTCTCTGAACCTCTCTTTGGAATTTTGTTGAATTTTTCGTCGGAAGTTCTCTTCATTTCAAGTTCTTGGAATTTCTCGCCATAAGCTCTCTGAACTTCTCCTCGGAATTTCTCCGAAAATCTTGTGGGAAGTTCCCTGAACCCTTCTCGTTAGGAATTCTCAAAATTTCTCATCGGAAATTTTCTGAATTTCACGTCGAATGTTCTCAGAATTTTTGGGAATTCTTATCGGATATTCTCTAAACTTTTCGGAAGTTCTTAGAATTTCTCGCCAGAAGCTTTCTGAACTACAGAAAACTTCGGAGAAGTTCACGGAACTTCCGACAAGTTCGTGGAACTTCGGACAAGTTCACGGATCATGCGACATGTTCCGACTAGAAGTTCATCGAACTTCCGAGAAAATTTCAAAGAATTTCCAAAGACAGGTTCAGACAACTTCCAACTAGGTGTTCAGAGATCTTCTCTGTGATTCTCTTCGAAATTTCTTTGAACTTCCACTCGAAACTTCCCTTCGGAAGTTCTCTGAACATCTCCTCGGTAGATCTCTGAACTTCTTGTCAGTAGTTCAGTAGTCAGTGAACCTCTCTTTGAAATTTTTTTGAACTTTTCGTCTGAAGTTCTCTGCATTTCTTTTCGGATGTTCTGAGAATTTCTCGACCGAAGCTCTCGGAAGTTCTCTGAACTTCAGGAAAATTCTGAGAAGTTCACGGAACTTCCGACAAGTTCGAGGAACTTTCAACATGTGCCGACTAGAAGTTCATCGAACTTCCGACAGAAAGTTCAAGGAATTTCTGAGGAGAGTTTTAGAGAACTTCCAACTAGATGTTCACAGACCTTCACTGAGATTCCCTTTGGGAGTTCTTTGAACTTCTTCTCGGCGGATCTCTGAACCTCTCTTTGGAAATGTCCTTTTCGTCGGAAGTTCTTTGCATTTCTTTTCGGAAGTTCTTAGAATTTCTCGCCAGAAGCTCTCTGAACTTCACTTCAGAAGTTCTCTGAACTTCTTGTCTGAAGTTCACTGAACAATTCTCGTTAGGAATTGTCAAAATTTCTCATCAGAAATTTTCTGAATTTCACGTCAAATGCTCTCAAAATTTCTCGGAATTCTTATCGGACATTCTCTTAAGTTTTCCTCGAAAGTTCCCTGAGTTTCTCTTTCGAATTACTTTTAGCTTCGCGTCAGACGTTTTCTGAACTTCTCTGAATTTCTTATCGGAAGTTCTCTGAACTTCTCTTCCGAGAATTTCACGAAACTTCCAACAAGTTCACTGATTTTCCAACAAGTTTACGGACCTTCCGAGAAGTTTACAAAAAAATCAGACCAGTTCATTAATTTATGTAATCAATTGATAAATAATTGCTTCACTGACAACTTAGTAGATCAATCCAATGTTCTATCTAGTCATCTCTTATGTTTAGTACCAATGTAAACAATAAGTCAGACGAGCCGTTCATCTTAGTAATCATGCAACTTTGACGCGTATTTCACGTATTTTACTAAACATTAACAACTATCGTCTGTATGTCCAAAAAGTCTTTTTTTCCTTCAAAGTAAAATGGTTTAATTAAAATTTAATTTCATTCATAAATGACTATGTTATAACCATTCATAATCTGACACTATTTTGTGACAAAATTTGTTTGATTTACACCCCAGTATAGTCCTGAATAAATCTGTTATTGGGAAAGAGTTAACTGCCAGACATTGAGCAATTAACTATTTTAAATCATATCTTTATGGTCGATGGTTTGAGGTTCGTACAGACCATCGACCACTAGTCTACTTATTCGGTATGAAGTACCGTACCTCTAAGTTGACCAACAACATGCATGAGCAAGCCTTCAATTGACGTTTGAGCGGTTTTTATGTTTAAACTCAGGAATGATTGTTTGGCGTTCTGAGATTCTTAAGCGTGAGGTTTGATTGCCAGATTTGCACGCGAGTTTATTCTCTTGGGGAGGCTCAACGAATGAGATTTGAGAATGTTTTTCCGAACACTGCTGTGTGGGAATTTGTTGTTATATTAACTTAGTATGCTTACATCCTCGAAAAAAAAAAACTGTTTCGGAATCCTTACGCCAGCACGAGAGCAGCGGCCTCCTTCTTCAGGGCAGCTCGCTGTTTGCTCACGATCTGGGCCGCAATACGATCCAAATCCCGCTGGCCTTGGCTGGTCAGCTTGCGGCCTCCTTCGGGGTGCTTCTCGATCAGCTTAATCTGTTCCAGAGCCTGCACGGCCCTGCGGGTGGCACTGCCATCAGTGCGGCAGAAATGCGATGGACGGACACCGTTGCGCTGGCGACCACCGTAGACACGGCAGATGGAACCAACACCCGACGGGCTCTGGTGGTACAGACGACGCAGGATCGAGGCACAGCGTATATAGAACCAGTCCTGGTCGGAGGGAGCCAGCTCCTTGAACTTGGCGGTCTTGATTAGGTCAATGTAATCGGGGACCTTCAGCTTACCGGACTTCTTCAAGAAGTCGCCCTGGACAACTTTGTCCTGATCGACGTCCTTCACGGTAATTCCTGGCATCTTCACTAGTATGTGCAACCGAAAAAAGAGGAATACATAAGTGTTTATGAGATACTAATTGACTAAGCCTAAAACATCAAGAGGGAGAGAGAAGGATTAGTAATATGAACAAAGCGCACCGAAACAATAATTGAACATGCGGACACTTTCATGATCTACAACGAGCGATCCAACTGCTACTGCTGGTTTCAGTGATACCCATATAATGTGGACTTAATTTAACAATCGCCATTTGATTCTCTTGAGCTGATGAATTTAAAATTTATATTGAAAACAAGGAGGGGAAAAGTTGGCTTCGGCAATACCTTAACCTATTATCGTCAGGGGGAGCTATTATCGTCCTTGAGAGCTCAATTTTGGCATGTGGATACATTGTGTTTCAGAGCAACTATTGGCCAAAATTGAGTGCTCTAGGACTTTGTTTACCCCTTTGACGATAATAGGTTAAGGTATTGCCGAAGCCAACTTTTCCCCGATTTGATCTGGTTTCGATCTCGAAATACTTAGTAAGCTCACCTAGGGCAGTTATTTCCTTCTTGATCCGTGCACCTTCGATTTTAGTCCTGCCGTTTGTCACTGTTAAATTTTAAATCATCTTCCAGAATCACCCACCACCCCCGCCCGGATACAATTGCATGAATCATCAATTATCACACCCGTTTTGAATCCAATCCATCGGTAAACTACACCCGGCACTTGACCCCTCTCGTCGAACCACGTACGAAACCGCAACGAAAACTCACGGCTCATAAACTCCACAATCACCACGCCATTCCCATTCGCAAAGCTGGTATTAGTACATCTCCCCCTGTCCTCCGTCGTAATTGATTGTTTATCTGTGTACACGTGTGTGTGTGTGTCTGTGTTCATCACAATTGCAGTCCGGCAATGAGGCACTGTGGGGTTGGGCCAAGTGATAATTTGAACCGCACTCTTTCCATCTCTCTCTCACTCCTTCGCTGTGTGTTGAAAATGATTTGCTATTCGGGCCCGGTCGGAACCGTTTCCGGTTACCCAGGTCACATTTTATTGTCTATTATGGCCAGTGTTTGATGGATGGGACTTTTGCGTGCGGCGGGGGTGTGGGAGGCAATAAAAAGTACAATCTCGATAACAAAGCACTACAACCTAATGAGAATGAAAGGGAAATGAGAGCAAAGTGGATTCACATGGGTCCGGGGCGATAGTGTTGTGTGTAGTGCTCCTTTGTTGCTGATTGGTACGGTGGAGGGGGCATGGGGGCAGGGAAGGGGTAGAAAATTAAATTATTCCATTTCAACGTTACTAATTAAAAGCTTTTGCAAATTAACGACCGAGACCGGGATCGAGGGATCGCGCGAGGAGGTTGGAATTGGCATAGGACGCGGGTCGGAGAATATGGCAATACCGAGATAGCAGCAGCACGGGATATGGCATCGTGCCGGGCTCTCACCCGGCAAAGCAGATATAATGTAGAATAAATATAATAAAACAAATGATTTAATTATTCAAGCTGAATTAATTTCATGACAAAAGCTTTCCAAGAGCGGGGATTGGCGGAAAGTGAGTGTGAAGAATTGTGTAGGTGCAAAAAGCGGATGGCAGGGATGCCGGGATTAGCTGCCTACACTCTAATGATCCACCCACATTGGATCCATTCGCGTTGCGTTGACGTAAATTTGACGGTTAGACACCTTCTCGAAGATCGGCAGAACAACAACCGAGGGATTTTTAAACCGTTAAAGTTTAGTGGAAATTCACCAAATGGTACACTGCCTAAACCAGCAAACCGCAAAAGGAAATCTGGCCTCACTGCAGTCTAGATCAGGAGAGTGTCGTTGACAGCCGCCGAGGCGGGACAAGTTGGTCAAACTTTAACCGATCTGTGCACGAATTCGGACCCCGGGCCCCTCCCAACAGTGCGTGCTTATGTTGTGTTTAATGCTGCCATTATTGAACCAACAGCGTTGCCCCCTTTTCTCCCCTCTTCTGACCGCATGAGGATCTATCAAGAAGCAATTTGGGAATTCCGTGGCCAGTGGCGCTGAATTGATAACCTATGTCGTTTGGAACCAATCGTTGAAAAACCCCACGGTAGTTCCGGTCCAGTGCGAGGCCACCGCCGGCCACCACTACTACCAGCTGCTGAACGACTAGAAACGGAAAAACCGCGAGCTGTGGGTTGATTATAATAATTCGCTGGCAGAACTCGAAATTGAGAGCAGATTCACGGTGTCAGAATTCGTTTCGGTGGAAGGGAGCATAGATGCTTATGTAATAGATGAGTGGAAGTCAGCTGATGTATTGAATCGCATGGAAATGCTCGTTTGGATACAACATTTGGTACACTCCCGCACGTCTATTCCATACAGGAAGACAAATTCCCTGTCAACTTCATATAGTAGCTCACATGATTTTGACATTTTGTGGCAATCTGACAGCGGTAAAACTGACCGACGTATAATAGAACCAAGCTTCTTAGTCTTTCACAATTGCATCAACAGAAGAGGAACTTAGAACATTTTTTTAAAAATTATGATCAAGATCAAGCACCTAGAAACATTCACACTTTCCAATCATTTCAAAATTTAAGTGTGTCAGAAGGCAAATTTTCACGGTAGAGGTGGTTTGCTCAGGTGGTTTGTCTTTCGGCAACATATTGAGGGTGCAATTTCAAAAACCCAAAACCAACCGCGTTACGAAAAGTGGTCAGGTTTTGATCACTTATAACTCTGTCATTAGCGGTTGGATTTTAATTCTAAACAAGCCAATCGATTGGAAATTTTTCTACAAATCTGCTTAAAAGAAACACTTTATCAATTTTCATTAGGATTGATTATTACACAAATGTCTAACTGAAGCAGCGAAGGTGGTGTAGTGGTAAGCGTGATTATCTTTCACCTCAGCAGGCCTGGGTTCAATCCCAGTCGGCGCCGCCGGGATTTTCTGAGGCATAGCATTTCTGATCACGCCTTCCTTCGGAAGAGAAGTAAAGTTGATGAGTCGATAGGTAGGGTCCAGGTGTGGGAGCTGCCTCCCTGACTCTGACTTCGGTAGCATTGGTGCTCAGCACGGAAAACAAGATCAACGGAAAACCAATCAAGGAAAAAAATGTCTAACTGTTGCAATGGCGAGCAAAATTATCACCGATTACCTGTTAAAAGCACTTTGGCAGCACAAAATGTCTTGGCAAACTGCCGCTGGATGAAACTGCGAACCGAAATGGCCGTCGACGGCAGTCTTTCTTTAAAGTAGAACTGCGCTGGTCTCCCGTGCCTACGTTCTTCTCGTCATTCGGGTGCTAATCGAAGTGCTGCTTCCACCTTTCAATCACCTCACGTCCGTCCGTCAAGAGGCTCCCGTCCTTATCCTTGCACATTTCGGCTCGCGGCACGAAGTCATTGCGGGATGCTTTGAGCTTCTGGTTGAACTTCCGTGTTTCTTCGGGACGGCACAGCAGTTCCATTTCCTTGCACTCCGCTACTTCCAGGCGGTGTTTTTTCTCCCGAAAGATGCGGGTCTGCTGTTTCCGCTTCTGTTTATACCGTTCCACGTTCTGTCGGGTTCCATGCTGCTGCCCTCCACTGGCAACGCTGTCTCGAGATTCTGCGCGTATGCTAAGGCGACATCCGGTTGCTTCAGTCGCTCAAGGTTGTACCGTGGCGGGTGTCGGTACCGTACATTGTTGATGACGGAAAGTTTTGGGCGCAGTTTGACCATCACCAAGTAGTGGTCAGAGTCGATGTTAGCGCCACGATAGGTCCTGACGTCGATAATGTCGGAGAAGTGCCGTCCATCAATCAGAACGTGGTTGATTTGCGATTCCGTCTACTGTGGTGATCTCCAGGTGTAACGATAAAGGTGCTACGTATGGTCGTGTTCTTGGAGGCAGCGAAATCGATGAGTCGTAGGTCGTTCCCGTTCGTCAGCTGGTGGGCGCTGAATTTTCCAATCGTCGGTCTGAATTCCTCCTCCTGGCCTACTTGAGCGTTTAGGTCTCCTATGATGATCTTGACGTCGTGGCTTGGGCAGCGATCGTACTTGCGCGTAAATGCGTCCTTGTCATCATCAGTGCTTCCGGAGTGAGGGCTGTGCACGGTGATTATGCTAAAGTTGAAGAATCGGCCCATCACGATGAAATCTGTGCCCAGCTCGCGTGTGTTGCCGCAACTTTGGTACATGGTATGTACCTCTAAACGTTCACACCATGGATCCTGTCCAACACACCTCCTGCAGCGCTACGATGCCGAATCCGCGGTCCTTCAGTAGATTGGCGAGTATTCGGGTGCTCCCGATGAAATTGAGAGATCGACAGTTCCACGTGCCGAGTTTCCAATCGCAAGTCCTATTTCGTCGCGAGGGTCATTGCCATTGGTCTCGGTTCGTATTCCTCTGTTGCTGATTTTCCGTTCCAATGCTTTTTTTACGGCTGGCTCACAGGGATTGACACCAAGCCCCTAACTTTCCGAAGGAACAGGCTGCACAGTTGTGCCTAGAGTCCTTCACTGGCACTCGGACGTAGATCAGCCGCCCCTAACATGGGAACAGACGCTGTTGTGAGCCACTCCTCCTGAATAACAGACACTCAGGCTTGCCGAAGCAAACCCCCCCCCCTCCCTTCCCTGTCAGCCTATGACCAAAGCTCCCACCGTGGTTGGTCACCCGATCTTCCCTAAGGTTGCTCACAGTTCCCAGCCGGTACCACGGGGAGGTAGGGATAGGAGTTGCTGGGAAGAGGCTAGTGATCTCAATGGGATCTGTATTGCGCATTACCCATCTGTAATGCGCATTACCGACCAGAGATGGAAAAGTGTTCTCACAAATTTTGCGGGAGCGATATTTTCACGGTTTGGATGAGGATAATGAATAATCGTAGAAGAATGAAACGGCATAAGCAACACCAGTGATGGAAAAAATCAAGAAAATCCAAAATCAGGAACGGTCGAAAATCACTGCTGATCTTGAGAGTAGCAAAATCACACAGCAGAAAATCAAGGCTGATTTTAACCTTAGCTGACTTTGCGGTCACAAAAACCAAACGG